CTCATTACAGAGCTGCAGTTTTCCAGAATTCTCATTACAGAGCTGCATTTTTCAGGCAGTAGCAGCCTGCACCCACCTCCTTACAGGGTCTCACTTGAGCTCACTGATGCACTCCACATCAATCTTGTGCAAATCAGGAATTTCTGTGTGTTAACTGGTATCTTGCAAGGGACAAACCTTGAGTTTCTGCATGAAATTTAAATATTAAAGGAATTACCAGAGAAATAACTCCCAAACTTGAGGAACAGAAAGACTCCTGCGAAGCAGTGAGGTAGAACTGAAATCAAATGGTGTTGGCAGTATTCACCACTTTTCACAAGGTACCTGGTGCCTTGCAACCTGAATTTTAGAAGGGTAGACCAGAGTTCTGCCTGACCTAAGTGGAACACTGCTGAGCCCCTGGGGTCAAATACTGTAAGGCAATTTATTTATAAAAGGCATGGCCATCGTTTGCATGGACAAATCTAAGTCCTTGTGTAGAAACCTCCTTGCTGTATATGCAAAACAAATGCACCTTTATCCAGTTCACTTCTGTACTCGCAGAAGGAACGCAGAGATGAAAATAAATGTGTGCAGAGAGAACAGCTCCTTACACTTGTCATTCATAAACCTTCTGCAGAACTCCTGAAAGGTTCCTCTGTAGCTCATGGTCCTTAGGGAGCGGTGGAACTGGTAATAAGACACCACCAGGTCTTTGGGGTTGCGAGCCATGTATATGACCTGTGATTTGGGCGGGGGGAAAAAAAAAGCACCTTATTGAGTGATTTTTTTCCCCAAAGCACTTAACCAATAGAGTTAAGCCAACAGGGCTTAATTTAATTTTTACCTTTGAGTTCCCATTGTGGAGGTCTGAAGGCAAGAACCGGTATGGCAGGTGGCTTTTTATGAGGCGAGGAGATGTCAGTTCCTAAAATAAAGCAGAGGGAATGGTTCCTCATTGAGCACCAGTTTGGCACATCTGCCCTGAACTGTCACACTTGAAGCCCTTTACTCCACTGAGTCCCATTCACAAATTCACTCCTGCAATTAATAAGAGTCTGAGACTAGAAATTAGGTCAGGGAGTTACACATGGTTTTTAAATATAAAAAAAGCTGGATAACATGTTGGGAGTTTTGTTGTTTGGGGTTTTTAACCCCCTTTGTTTTCAAAGTGCTTCCATTTGTAGCACCTTCTCAGAAACAATATAATAGTTGAAGATTCTTGGTATCAAACCTTGTTTCCAGCAATGCTTCCACTAAAATCCCTTGAAAACTTTTGGAAGTTCTGAAAATACCACCCCTAACTTCTTCAAGATGTTATCCTTGCAGTTTATTCTATCCTCAGAATTAGGCCCAAAAGTTTATCTGAGTATGTGAATGTGCTTCAAACAGAATATTCTTAATAGTGTGGAAATCATTTCATGCAGGATATTCCAAACTCTTCAAATTACACCTACAGAGTCTGTAGAGATCCAGGATCTGTGGTTCTAAAGATTTAGATGTATGAATTCGGAGCAGTGGGAATACAAATGCGTAGATCTCTGTGTTTGTAGCTCCTCTTTCACAAATTCAGGAAAGGAATCAAAGCAAATTGGTCTCCTTTGGGCAGCTTCTGTTTTTACATAAGCAAGAGAGGCCTGGAACTTTTATTCAGAAAACCCAGTGCCAAAATATTAAGGACATGAAGAAACATCTAAAGCATTAAACAGAGTACAATAAAGTTGAATAAAAGCAATTTTAAAATAACCTAATAATGCTCTGAATCATTCCAACGAACTGAGCGAGTCCAGCGATGAAAAGAACAAGGACACAGGATGAAATGAAGTGATAAAGATGGAACTGAGGAAAACAGATATCCAAATGCTGAAAGGCTTTTCTTGGCAATAAATTGTACCTTGATGATGTCCAGACCAGGCTGAGGGTACTCTAGGACTGGAAGTTGTTCATCTATATTCATTAGTCCAATCTCATCTGGATCAGCTCCCTGACTCACTAGATAAACCACTTCCTGCAGCAACCCTGTGCCTGCATAAAGCAAACAATGGGAGAGAACAGATTGTATTACAGTTCTTATCAAAACAGAACCACAGGAAGGGAGACCTAAACAGGGACATAATGGTAACTCTTGTTCTCAACAGTCTGCTGTGAGCTAGGTCTGTAACTACTGTTTTAACATAGGATGTCAGCTCAATAAAATTTAAGTACATTTCTGTCTCCAAACCATTTAACCTGGGAATTGGAAAGCATTTAACAAAAAGTTGTTTCCCCCCCTGTAAATGTTACCAAGGCAACATACTATTATTTCTATTTTAGAAATTAAAAAAAAAAAAGAAGACAGGCAAACTGAGGTCATCCAAGTTCACAAAATGCATTAGTGGCTACACTGAGACAGCATCCTTTCTTCTAAATTGTAGGCAATGCCCCTGTTATGCAATGATTTGAGAGTCTATTTATGCCCCCACGTTATGGACTGGATAAACCACTGAAAGCATCAACAGTGAGTCAGTCATAAGCCTCAGAGGCCCCAGTTACATCTCCCTCCCCAGTCCGAGGGCATTTACAAAGCATCCATCAGATATTATGGCCTTAATGACTGCACTCTCGAAAATTAATAGCTACTCCAACGGGAAGTTTGGACAGGGAAATTATTTCAAATGGCTTTACCTTCAGGCAGGTAGGAAACCCCCAACACAACAAAACACAGTACTGAGTTATTTGACAGGTGTTTCTGAAGAGAAAGGCACAGGCTCTTGGTGAGATGGAAGAACAGAGCAGGGAGAAATCACAAAGAAAACTAGAGTATCGTTATTCTGATGTTTTTTAATCTGACACAGAAACAGTTAAACGAGGCTGATGGTTAGGGTGAGCACAGCCTGGATACCATGTGAAACAGCACATGCCTCCAAGAATTGCTTTAGAGGGTAAGCACTTTAAAATTCCTCTGTTACCTGACTGATTGGTGGGTAAATTAAAAAGGTTTGGGGGGGAAAAAATAAAAAGACACTTTTACATTATCATCACCCACAGAGACAGCTGTCACTGACTTCATACACTCTTGCCCCTGAGGCTGTTCATTCTGCATTTTTAAGTTCAAGCATATATTTTATACATTAAAATTAACATTCATACAGTTCTTCAGTATCGGCCCTTGTGACTCTGAATGAGTACAACCCTTGTTTTCATTAAATATTTCTTCTGACAGGAGACACCCTGGTTCTCCATAATTTATTTCTGTATTTCCAATTCCACCTGCAAAGAAAAATGCTATTACAGCAACCCTGTTCAAAGAAAGGAAAAAAAATGGCTGTGTGGGGACAAGCAACACCACCAGGACTTTATTTTTTTTTCCATTGCTCAGCTGCTCTCCAGGCAAAAAGCAGCCATGTCCACATTACCTAGTTCTGCTCAACCTTACTGCTAGCAGATCCATGGAGCACAGGAGAGAAGGAAAATGACATATTTTTCCATGCAAAGTGGGTTTTTGGAAGCTCCAAAGTCTTCACCTAAATGAGTTTCCACCAAAAACAGTGGCACATTGGAAGAGTAATGCTGGGCACCCAAGGCAGCAAAATTAAAATCTCCATCAACTCTATGTTCTTTAAAAGAGTGTTTAAATCTGAATCTTTATATTAATTAGCATGCACATATACAAACTCCCATGGTATGTTTGTAGAGCTGCACATATTCCAGCATCCTATTCCAATTCACACAGCAAAGAGAATTTCTGCAATATTTCTTCTACAAAGAGGAGGATTGGCAGTTTAGAATCCTGGCCATCCCATAGGTTAGAATTTCTCCTCCCTACACTGATCCTGATTTCTCTCCCCCTTGAACTCTGTGCTAGTTCTCACTTTTGCCACTCACTGTATTTGCCTGACTTTTTTCCACATTAGCACTCAAGTTACTCTGCTTAGGACTTCCAGGGTCCCAATAAAAATGAAAACTAGAGAATTAACTTTTGAGGGAACCATTTTTTTTTTAACTTGTCATCCTTAATCAATTATCACTTATCACACACAAACATTCCAAGACCTCATCTTCTTATTAAAACACCACATGCTTATTTAAAAAAAAAAAAAGCTAAAAGACTTTATACACATAATTACATATGTATGACCTCCTCACATTTGACCCAACTGACTTTGTGATCTCTGAAGATGTGCAAGAACCACCATTTTCTGGGTGGAAGGTAAATTGCCGAGACTGAGATTTTCAATATGTGAATAAACTCCAGTAATCCCAGTCTATCACAAAACCTGGCCAGATCTAAATGCCACAGAAACTTTCTCAGTAAAAGGGAAAATGATGATACTTGTTGGACAGAAGAAGGCGGCGGAGGAAGCTAAAGAAAAAGATGCAGAGCTTCTGTCTATACTCTCAAGATTTCTGGGTTTTCCTGGAGAAAACAGATCTTGTGCATCTCCAGTATATTCCACTGTTCTCCCCTTGTGTTGCTGAACACGTGGACATGTACACCTCACTTGGAATGGCACAGAAGAGCAAGCAGTCCCTGACAAACAGGATTCATCTGTCAGCCTTTGGACATGAGACACCACATGCAACATTAATAAGTCCCCAGAAATTCTACCCTTCCTTCTCCCACCTGCAGCAGATCCATATTTCATCCTGGAGGAAAAATGCTGACCCTCCAAGGTCATATTGCCAAAACAGATGTAGGATTCATTTCCATCTATCCAATTCCAACTAAAATGGAGCCAGTCAGCATCTGAGGGACTCCACTACCTGAGAAATGCTCTCCCCTGACAAGCTCTTCTGTTATGTCAATAAAATGCCCAGGGAGAAAACAGAGCCTTCCAGTTTATCACACACTGTCTGGGAAGAGAGGGGATGGGAAAGAGCTGTGATGAGCTACTGCCAGAATCTGCAGGGGTTTAGGAGATCCTTTTAAATTATCTGTGAACCTGCATTTCTACTCAGCATGACAGCAGGGTGAAAGTGTTCCAGTTGGGATGCACTGTCCTTCCCTGTGATACCTGCACAAAAATCAGGACTCGTTAAAATTCCTTTTGCACCTCTGATGGCTGGGAACTCTTCCTTTGTCCCCCTTCTCATGGCCAAAGCCTCAGCAGCAACAGCAAAGTCAGTTCATAGCCATGCTGCCTCTGCTCCTCCGGGAGCTGCTGCAGCAGCAACCAGACAGCAGGGCAGCGAAAATTTGGGAATGCCGCAGCCACTCCTTCCTGCTCCTGTGCATTAGATCTCTTTCAATGTCAAACTCAACCACTGTAGGAGGGAGAAATATTCTCCAGTGCAGCTGTTTTCTGGCTCCTCTCAGTATTTTCTGGCCACTGGCCTTTATGGTCCCCTAAAGCCACCAAACAGATTTCTTCAAAGTGAAGTGGCAGATATAAACCAGGAAGATTTCCCATGAAATTTTGCTTCCCCAGATCATTTCTTACACTTTCTCCTCTCCTATCAGCTAAGATGGGATAAACCTGCAGCCTAAGGATGTCAAGGCCTTTGGTATATTCCTTCCATTCACCCCTTGTTTGGAAACCACATGGAAAAATAAACTAAATACTAATATTAGTATTAATAACCTCACAATCCCAATTAGCTGTACTTTGACTTGCTGATGTTTGATCAAGTTTCAGCTAATACAATGCAACAGATCCATTATGACTCATAATTTTTTTATAGCACTGGTAGATGCAAGAGCTCATTAAAAATGAGGGCTGCTAAAGCTGTCAGATTGGTCTAGCAAGGGCTGTACAGCAAAACCCCACATTTTTGTTTTAATTCCCTGCAAACTCCTTCCCCCTTCACTAATTTAAGTGTAAATCTGCAGGGAAGCATGACAGATTCATCTTCACACTACAAGAGTGGAGGGAAAATCAGATTTTTCCATTAGAAGACAATAATTTCCAAACCATAAAAATACCCCCTCTTGAGGTCTGTATGTTGAGGTTCTCCTACATGTTCAAATTCCACCTGGCTTAAGAACAGGGATTTTCATTAACAACAAGGGTTTTAAAAATAAAAGTAATGTATACACCTTGATGTCATATTTTCTGATTCTTCTGTTCCTAAATAAGACTTGGGATTCAGAATAAAGACTGAAATTGTGATGTTATATTGATGTTGTTTTTGTCTAACAGTTAAATATGTATTAAAGGGCCCAATTTTCCAAAATCCTCTTAGATTAATGTCCCTTTTTAGATGGTCTAAATGCCCCTCAGTCAATAGTGACCTGTCAAGGTAATCTGTGGTACATGAGGAAACTGAATCCAGATCTTCCAAAAGTGAAGGCAACAACCTAAGACTGGATCTAAAACAAGTATTAAATGGACAGTTTACAGCAACATTCTGCAAGCTCAGTCTTAGATTTTTAGACTTATTAATCAATTTATTTTTCCACTTGCAGCTACCAGCTTTGAAACCAAAACCAACAGGCTAAATTCTGCTTGTCTTTCACCAGACTCACATTAGAGGGTGCAGACATGGGTCCATTAATTCTGAGTTGTGTTCTGAAGGTGTTTTGCTAGAGGCTACAAACAGCAAACTACAAAAACTATTTAGGGGTAAAATCTACTTTCTGTTTGGTAAAAATGCTGTCACTGAAGTGTTTACATACATGTATTATCCACAGAATTAGTACTATGTATAACAGAGTACCCTAAAGCACTGTTGTAATGAACTGGCTACAAAGCAGTGCTATTTTTGGCTGAGGCATTAGTACTATCTTTTAAAAAAAGGCCTGAGTCCTAATTCTCCCTTACATTAGCACAATAACTGCTCAATAGAGGACAGGACGAAAAGTGCAGACTTGACCACAGTGCATCTCCATGCTGAGGCATCTCCACTTCCACAGTGCAAGGCAGGAGATGAGGATTTTCCACACCTAACACCCGCCTGGAGGAAAACACCTCCTGACATCTCAGATCCTAAAACTGGAGCAACACCAGTAAATAAAGCACACCAGGTCCTGCTCTCTGGGAGGGTTTGTGGGACAGCCAAACACACATCCCCAGAGATGATTCCCAAAAGAGGACAGCTCCATCCAT